GCCCATCAAGACCAGGCCCGCTCCAGCAACCCTAATTTGCCCCCATATTTAAGTGGAGAATTAAATGAGAAGGAGCCTCATTCTTATTCTTTTAACCCTAGTCACCAAAGCAAAAAGGAAGAGAGAGAGAGAGAGGAGCTCGCCGCCGCCGAGGAAGAGAAGGGAAGCCGCCGCCGCCGCCTGAGCTCGCCGCCGCCGCCGTCTGAGAGGAGAAGGAGTGGTCGTCAGCCTCCTCCTTCACAGAAACTCCTTGATTCCTTTGCTACCAGTTCTCCTTAAGTCAGATCTGCTTTTAGACCAAGGTGAGGATTAGATCTAGGTTTTCTTTTTATTCTTTTGTCTTCTTCTGGTGTGTGGAGTCTAGATCTGATGAGCCTAGGATGATTCCTTGTGCATCTAGCTAAATCCATGTGTGAGTCTAATGAAAAGATCTAGGATCTCATTAGAGGAAAAACCAGCATGTTTGATTGTTCACCCTGATGTGTGGTTAGTGATTGGTAGTGTAGCTAGATCAGGTGTTCATCTCGGTGATGGTGTGCCGAGGTATGGACTTGTTTGCTGGGCTATTGCTGTCTGTGTGACTATTGTGGTAGTTCAACGGTGAGCGGAAGGTACGCCGATCCTTTCGGAGCCTGTATGGCTGGAGGTGTGTCTGTGTGAGTGCCTGGTAGTATGTCTGTGTGACATGGGAGATGATGTTCTAGTCTGTGTGACTAGGAGGTGTGGCCTTGTGTGATAGGCGGGTTGGAGACACCATTGCTTGCTAGTTGCATGTGCATCGCTAGGATGCTTGTGTGTGTTGCTTGTTGGATTTATTCTTGACATGTTGGTGGAAAATGAATGAGTGGGAAGGGAGCCTGGTTTGGTTCTCACTGAGTAATTTCTCCAAATTACTCACCCTTCTCTTTTAAATCCATATTGCAGGTGAGTGTGATGAATGTGAGTGTGTCGATGTCTGGGAGGAACAAGACGAGTAGCTCTAGTGTGGTGTGCCTTCAGAGATGGAGGAAGATTTTATTTGCTTTAAGATCTATTTTTCGTATTCCCTTTTAAGACATTGTTTCTCTGCTTAATTTCGGATTTATTCGAGTTATTTATTTTTATTGTAAGACTGAAATTGATTTGATTTGGAATAAGAGTTAAAGACTATTCAGGAATTATTGATTAGGTTAGATAATATTACCGGTTTAGTCTGGTTTCCTTTGAAACCCGAGGTGTTACAGTTGTCTACACAACAAACACTATTTACACAACAACCCCTTACTTTACTATATCAAACAGTACATTTCATGCAACTTATGAAAACTACATACACCAATTTTATAGATCACCTAACCAAAGCTTGAAACAATACCGTTTTACCATCGAAATCTTGATAAAACCACTGTCTAACAACCTTATAATAAAAGACAATGATCCTAAGTGAAGTTAAACCTGTTGACAAAAAAGAAAAAAAAGATCAAGTGAGAAAGAGGAAACTAACATTATTTTGGTTGGATTCCAAAGGATGCTATAACGGTGAAACTCCTTGGAAGGATCAAACCAAAGACTGTAGCGTTCTTCACGACCGCGGTTTGTGCTACCGTTTCCATACATATTCGTCTGAAACCGCCACGGTTTTCCTTCAACGTTCCCTAAAAACTCAATGTCTAATTCATCATGGTTCTTCACAAACACATCTCCGTTTGATGTCTGTATTATAATATCATTTGTTACATTCAATCACTATATTCCATTATTTTAGTATATATATAAACTCTTTGATAAAGAAAATTAGTGACCTACATAGAAGGCGACGCAAATACCAGCCGTGTAAGCTCCCGGCAACTTTATCAACGAACTGAAAAATCCATGTTGATACATGCTTGATGAGATGAATCCTGACCCTAATCAAATTTCAATTTCAAAAATAATATCGCATCAAACATTTATATAACTAAAAGACTTTGATTAGTTACACTACAGTCTACAAGTTAGTAGAACCGCAGAAAATGACATAATTTAGGGAATTGAAAAAGAAACTTAACCAAATTGAAAATCGGTGGAAGGACTACGAACTTTCATCTACTTTATTCTTAAGCTACATATATACTGAAACATGATCAATATAGATAAGATTTTGCAAAGTTTCATGTCTGGTGAAAGACGATATAATCACATATCTAATAATCCTGTTACCAACCCTATCCATTTTTTTTTTTTTTTTTTTGTCAAAGGCCCTATCCATTTTTCATGTTCATGCAATTCACAAAATGTTAAAAATACAAACTATCATCATCATCATCATCATAAACCTAAAAATTTCAGACTTTTCTACGTGAAATTAAGGAAGTTATTGGAAGTTTTCGTATTGATTATGTACAAATCATATATATCGAAAGATAAGAAATTAAATTACCGGTGTATTTGTCGAGGAGTAATCGGACGCTACGATCATCAGGTGATCGGATGAGGTTACCTTCACCGAATAAATGAGAAAGACCTTCATCAAAGAATATCGGATTTATGTTCTCTAATCCCAAAACACATCTCCATGACACCATCATGATCATCACCATCATCATCACCCTTAATCGATCGATCCATAACAAGTATACTGAATCTCTCATTGTTTTTGTTTTGTTTTGTTTCTCTGTGCAAATCCGATAAAGAGATCGATGACTAGTTTATAATTTTCTCTTTCTTTGTCTGATGTAAGATCTTTGTTATTGTTTTCTCTTTCTCTTTCTCTTGTGATGCGTCAAAGTGGGAAAAGAAGACCATGGAATTGTCTAAGTTTTGCTTCTATCATTCTTGGAAATTTGAAAAAAGGCCATTTGTTTTCTTAGTTATCTACCGAACTGCCATCGATTTATCGATAATTATTTACACCATGCATGAATTATTTTCTTATAAAACAATTATACACATATAGTTTACCTTTCACGTGTCAAATTGATTAGATATTTTTATTTGGTTGATTAGATATCTATATAAAAAAAGCCGACAAAGCAATTTTTTTTTAAAAAAAAATTATTTGACATAATATTTAATTTTATATAGTAGTTAATTTCAGTAAAGGTCACTTTGTTTTTTTTTTCTTTTTGTCAACATGTCACTTTTGTTATATGTAGTACTACTAGCTAGATTCACATTTAAATTTTATTTAAGACCTTCTTTTTCAGAAATATTATCAGAATGGAGATAAAAACAATAAAAACCTAAAAAGGAATGAAATCTTAATAAAATTTTGATCGTATTTCAGAAACAGTTAATTAAAAAAATTTATCGCCTAAGAGTGGAGTGGAAAAAATCATTGATTATACTGGATACTATCAGTCTTTTACCTCAATATTTATCTTTTCAAAAGCATCAAAGATGTTTTCCAGAATCTATACTTACATTTATAATATTGTTATTTGCTCAAACTATTTTTCTTTTTTAAACTATGTTTTGGAGTAAAAAGATATTGGAGAGTTATTTGGAAAAATTACACTAAAAAAAAAAAAAAGAAAACTGGAAAGGAGTTGAATTAATAGCCATAAAATAATGTGTAGTATTTACACTTATCCTCTAATTACTCACCCGCACGAGGAGAAATATGATAGTATTGATGTTTTTGTTGTGTTATACATATAGACTCATACCATTTTCTATTACTAATTTATTGTATTATATATAGGCTCATATTTATTAGTTTTTGGTGTTTGACAATTCTATGTGGATAATTAGGGGTTAGTTTCTTCTATTGTTGTTTTTTTTATTAGTAATTGATTATCTGTACATCCAGTTCTTCAACAACCCTTATCATTTTGTAATATTGGTCACTAGCTAGTACTACATAATAGATAATTTCGATGATTATATGTTCATGTATGTTACTTTTTTCAATACTATTTTATTGTGTTATATATGTGTACTATTTCTATATATAGAACGAACCATACTTTGTTCAAATTTACTTTGTTTAATTTTGCCAACTAAAAATTAAAATTAATAAAATAGAATATAACATGAAACAAATCAAAAACCAAATGAAATCCAAACCACCCGCAAAAAAGAGTAAAACCATCTCTAGAAAATCGACCAATGGACTAATTTCACCCATTTCCTTTTACCTTTATTTTTCCTTTTTACTCTATGCGTGTTTGCTGACGTGGCGATATCAAAACTCACAACCCAGTTGCTTGGACTTCACGAAGCTAAGTAGTATATATACAAGCACAGTCCCCAAACTAAACAAAAATTCTGCGAACTTAACAAACACAGAGATCGAGAGAAGACGATACTAAAGAAAGATGAGTCAGGAAGAGAATAGGTGATGATTTCATTCTTCCTTTGTCTCTATTGATCGATCTAGCTAGGGTTTATACAAAATAATTAGGGTTTTTGAAGTTCCGCTTCTTGGATTCTCCTGTATCTATGGATTTTCGTCCCTGTAGTTGCCGCTACAATGCTGAATATTAGGGTTTTTTTTATCATCCATTAATAACACTTTATTCGATCCATATAAAAACGAAAACTTTTGAGGTTTGAATCTTTTACCGTGTCTCTTCTACTTATGCGCAGGATGCAAACGTTAAGTTCTTCTAGCAACGAATTGGTGAACGATTTTGAAGAAGTTCTCAAGGATTGTGAAGAGAAAAAACCAAAACTCCCAAGGAGAAGATTAAATAAGAAGCGGATTTCTGTTCCTGAATTAGTACATGAAGAAGACGAAGAAAATCTTGATGATTTTGTTGAACCAACAACGGCTGTTTCTAACGATAAAGTAGGGAAGAAGAGACAGAGGAAGGAAAAAGATGAGTCTGGTCTTGAAAGGACGAAGAACAAGAAGAAGAAGAAGAAGAAGCAAGATTCTGTTCGTGATGATCTGGAAAACTCCTTAGAGATTAACGAGATGTGGGATTCAATTACGAACAACAACAACAACAACAACAGCTCCAAGGTTTGTTTTGTCGTCTGAATTTATCTGGTTCATTGTTCTGTTTTCTTAGGCTCATAAGCTTTGAATTTTCTCTGTACAAAAACAGGATGGTGATAGTGTCGCAGCAAACCGTTCTAAGAAAAACGAGGTTGATGATGAGATAGAGAAACTGTTCAAGTCGATGAAAAAGAAGAGCAAGGCGGAGAAAAACAATGCTGAGATTGCGATGCAAGTAGAGCAAGTGATGGCAAATCTTGAACTCGCTGTAGAAGACGATGTTGAGCTGAACAAAGAAGGAAAACCCGCCATTAATAAGCTCATGAAGTTACCTCTTCTCACTGAAGCTCTCTCAAAGTAAACAAGATTCATCATAACTCTTTAATTTCTAAGTGATTTTAAAGCTCTCTCTATCTCTCTATCTGTCTCCTTGTGTGATCATCTCTGTCTTTTGTTTGAACAGAAAACCTCTTCAAGCTGAGTTCTTAGACCATGGAGTACTTAACCTTCTCAAGAATTGGCTCGAGCCGCTTCCTGATGGTAGCTTACCGAATATAAACATCCGCACTGCTGTTTTGAAGATTCTCAACGATTTACGTATAGTAGATGTAGATCAACAACATTGTAGAAGAGAACAGTTGATCAAGAGCGGTCTCGGGAAGGTCATAATGTTCTTATCAAAATCAGATGAAGAAACTACATTTAATAGGAGACTCGCTCATGACCTAGTCAACAAATGGGTATATATTATAAATATGAACCCCAAATCCTATTTCTGTTAAAAACCAATTCGTTTCTGTCATTAATTACTCACCTCTGTTCTGGATGTTATCTCCAACATTTGCAGGGCCGTATCATTTACGATAAGAGCACAAGATATAAGGACATGTATAGCCAGGAGGAACGTGAAGAGCATCAGCAAATGCTTTTAAGAAGACAGAACAAGACGGCTCCTAAGGTGTATGAAACAAAAGCTCGAGACTTTGATATAGATGTCGACTTTTCTGAGTAAGTTTCTCTTTATGTTTATACTATCATTCTAAGAAAACAGTTTTGGTTTTAGTAGAATCTTTTGGAAAAACAAATGCAGGGAACCAAAATCCAAGCTAGCACGTAGTAAAGAAGTAGGAAGAGCAAGAGTACCAACAGCAATATCAATGGACTTTTCGATCCGTCCTAAGCCGAAATTCGACAAAGATCTTGAAGCTCGTGCTAGGATGCAAATGGACAATAAAAGCATCCATGAAAAAGTAAGTACTGTCCTGCTTTAAGAACAGATAAAGATCATCATCATGGTGGTTCTCTGAGTTAGTTAGTATCCATTGGCTATATTGCATTTGAAAAACTAAGAGAAAAATATGTTACCTTGTGACAGATAATGTCCAAACTGAAGAGGCAAAAGGTGATCAGGAAGAAAAGCCTCCTTTCAACAAAGCTTAGTGCAGATGGTCGCACTATGCTAAAGTATTTGTAGATATTTTGGACACACCAAACTTGTAAAATCCATGGCGAATTTCCACATGCATTGTGTCTAGTGATTAATTAAGTTATATAAAGAGATTACTCTCATTCTATAGAACTCAAAAGTGTGATTATAGAGAATGAATATTATTAATACAAGAAAAGTTGTTTATCCATAATTTTTCCTCCCTTTTTGGTTCATAAGATATTTCCAACTTCCAAAACGTTTTTACAGAGTAGCATTAGACAGAGAACTTAACGCCTTCATCATCTGCTGATGTTCCTTTAAACAATGCAAGCTTGCCCTTGTTCTCGAGCAGCTTCAATGCCCTCATTAGAATAGTCCGATCAATCCCTTGAAGTTCTGAAACAGCAAAAGTGTACATTTGCATGAAATAAGTTCTGAAACAGATAAAATAGAATCAAGGTTTTGTACCTGTTCCATGTGATTCTGTCCCTGAACGTATTTCTTCAACAGTCATAACACTGTCCTCTAGTCCATTCTCTCTCACCTGATAGATAGAATATGATGCAAGAAATCGATTAGAGAAGGGTGCGTAAAACCAAAACCGATATTTAAAAATTTTCTTTGTGACTCACAAAGTGAAGAATAATGTCTGCCCAATCTTGAATCCGGTGCCACAAAATCAGACATTTCCTATGCCCTTTATCTAACCACTCCGCACGCCCTGTGAATAGATAAAGAAGGACACATTGTGTAAACATCAAACGCAACCATGAGGTTAAAGAACCTCACTCTATCACCAGAACATGAATTCACAGAACCAACAACAAAAACACGGAAAAAGTAGCCGCTTGATTGCCTCGAAATCTAACCTTCTCCAACAATGGCTGAGAGGAACGTTTCCCTTGCTTCATGGCTTAGAGTTCCTACGAATCAAATAAGACTAACGCTTTTAAGCACTTGAAAACATAGAAAGCCGCAAGATTAACGCTACAGCCTAAAGACGAAAGAACAAATCTAAAGTTACAACAGCTATCCTTGTTAAGATCTTAACCAGTAATCAGGTGAAAAGGCATTAATGGATCATACTATCAATAGCAGAGTTTGAGAAGAGAGGGAAATCTTCTTCAACGCCAATCAAGAAAACCTTTTGGGTTTTGCAGTAATCCAAAATAAGCTCTTTCCAGAGCTGTATTTGCTTCTCACGAGTGTCCCTCACAGGCTGCAAACTGAAATAAAGAGACTTTTCTTCAATCCATAATCTTCAACACACAGAAAGGGAGACAAAAATAAAAGAAACTGGAAGAAGAGATTGGATACGTGAAGTATGGAGGATAATTGAAGAATTGAGGAAGCTTGAAATCAGCCAATTTCTGCATCTTTGGTCCTCAAAATCTATTCACAAAATCAGCAACCATATAAATATTGACCCCAAAATGGGTTCACCCTACTCAAAATACGAATCTGAAGAAATATCTAGAAATTGATCATATATTTAATGAAAGATAAAATGGAATCACCAAAACCCAAACACTACAAATCTAAAAACCCAGAAACAACAATCAAAACCTATTGAATTTTATGTTTTTGTTGTAGAAGACATCAAATCTGGGTTATGTCAATTCAATAATACATAACAGCAACCGATGATGCCCTCAAATCTATTCCCAAAAGACAAAACCATGGAGAGCGAAGCTTACGAGCTAAGATGCAGACCGATGATGATAACTGAGTTTTAATATCTGTTTTTCTCAAAAACAGATTCTAAAATTTGATTGAAACGATGATGATAATTAAACTTAAATATATGTTTTGACGATTTTAGCCTCAAGCTTTTAAAAAGTTTGACAATTTGGACTCCACATCTAAAACTGAGATTTTGACAACACGACGACTAATTTTTCGTTTCTACTGTTGAATACATATTCTGATGAGTGCATAATACAATACTAATCGCTATTTTGAAACATCAAAAGATAAAAATTTGATGAATACTGCAAGTCGAGCTGCTTAAATCATGAAACCAACTTCGATTTAATGGGTCACATGAAATGAAAGCATGGAGCAGATGATCATGTGTTTGCTAAGAACAACATTTAAAAAGTAAATGTAAAAAGTAAATGCAACTCCTAAAAACTGAAAACATAAGGGAAAGAACTTGCATTGAATATCCAGAAAATGTTACAATCTGTAGCTCAAAAGGAAAAAGAAGAAACAAGAGTTTTAAGCTGCAACAAGATCTGGTGTCTCGGCCTCAACGGATAACAAAGTGGTGTGAACCTTATCGACCCAGCTGTCTAGCTGATCCCTCAATGACTTGATCTGCGGAATCCCAAGCACCCTCGGCTGCGCCCATGAGACATGTACCGTTCCATCCACCTGATCTAGTATACCCTCTATCAAGTGCACCTGCATCAACAGAGACAAAATCATCATATCATATTTATCCACAGCAATCAAAATTTTCCAGGAAAGTCTTGTATCTTGCCAAATCTTCTTTTAGATTTCATGTGCTGATAGAATGGGACAGAGAGTGGAAACATAAGGTACTCACGGATAAGCTCTTCATGAGAAGGTGCTCAACATCTTCGATTGAAAGTTTAGTTCGCTCAGCAATGACACTCAAAGGTATGGTCCTGTCTTCAGCTGGTCGGCTGTGACAGATGGTTATAAGAAAAAATGTAAGCTTTTTTTTCTTTTTCTTTTTCTTTTCTATCTGAATGTGTTTGTAAGATGTTGCTTAGAGAGACAATAATATACCTGAAAATGATCTCAATAAGGCAGAGAATGTTGATCTTCTCTAACAGTTTCTTCTCATTCTCAACCAGTGCTGGTTGAGCGCTCAAGGCTGCGTTGTGCACACGGCAGAGTTCCTGGTACTGGACTAAATCACCGTGGTTGAATGCCTGGAGAATGTGGTAAAGCCATTCCACATTTGTTCCAAGCAGACTCTTCAACTACCATAAGAGAAACGTAATGAATCAGTATGGTTAGCCTCAAGAAAAGATAAAGAAAAAGGAAACTTCTTTAAACTACTGGTTATTTTGGAGGGCGAAGGCAAACTTACAATTGGATGGGCTAACAGTTCCCCAAAGTTGTAGATGTTATCTCCGAGTAGGGCTGACAGGGACAGATCAAACGCCAAGTCCTGGATGGACACAAAAGTATCCGATATTAGCACTTCGATTGGTGAATACAAAGTAAGTTCCAGAAATAAAGCATTTCTGCATTGTAATCTTCCTTCCATAACTAACAAATAACTTATCCGACTTTGCTAAAAGGCCAGGTAAGAGAAAGTCAAGATTTAGCAAGCAACAGGGACATACCAGCTTAAACGATTCCGAGAGTGACTCCACAGACGTGTAAGCGAGGTAAAGAAGAGCATTTTTGTAGAAATCAGAAAATTCTTGACGAAATTTATGGTACTGAGAAGACACCCAATAGAAATTGGCATAGACTGATGGATCAATGTCGGTCATACTATCAAGAGAGCTTTTTCCATCGTCCAATATCTTCTTGCACTCCTTCTGGTCACCTTGCTCAAGCTTGAACAAAGCTATCTGTGTTTCTATATAGCTAATTGGCTCATTTATCCTTGACTCTTTAGTAGCTCTAAGCTTTTCAATCACTCCTTCAAGATAACCAACCGCAGCTTCTTTCTCAGGGTACTGTCGGGAGACGACAACCGCGAAATGCGCAAGCTTCAGAAGATTGATCTTCGTCTCAAAGTCAGTGATGAAATTGTTGTAAAACTGTATTAAAGCATCTCCAGCCTGAAATGATTACGAACATAACAAATAGGACGTTATCAAAACCATAAACCCATTTCCAAATCATGGGTTTTTAGTAGACAAACTAAGAGCCAAACCAGAACATACAACACAAAAGTTCCTTAAACCTCGTAAGTCGGTTTTTAGATATCTCTGCGCTCAACTTATTCAAGCTTTAATCGCAGGAGTGCGATAATTCACTGAAAAAGCTTTGTTTTGGTGAATCTGAGAAGCACCCAGCTCATAAAATCCAACGACGGAACGAATACTTTAGATCTCTATAAACCCAAGTGTAACATGACGACTCCTACGGTCCTATAAACTTACTCGAGAACTAAGAACCCTAATTTCCCAGAACGATGAAAATTCAAGTAGATTATGGAACGCAATTGACCTGAAAGACAGAGAGAGCAATGAACTGCTCGAGCTTGAGGGTGAGCTGGTGCCAGAGCTTCTTCTGGTACAGATCTGCGAGCGAATTGTACCACTCGCCAAGCTCTGGATGCGCATTTTTCTGCGATTCAAGGTACTGTAAAGCAGCCATGGCGATTTCACTTCTCGGAAGAAGAAAAAGCCTCGATCTTGTATCGGTTTGGGAGTAGAAATTTCCGGAAAACCCCTGCCTTTTAGTAAACTATTTTTCTTGTGCTCAAAGACAAGTATCAGGCGATAATTGCAAAACTAACGATTGAAAGGACTTTTATGTAAATAAAAATACTAATGCTAATTTACAATTTAGGGCTCAGAACGAATTCTTGTTTCCTTGGCGGGTTGGATTACAAAACACATCTACTGCTTATTAATCAGATCAAAGAGCACACAAAAAAAAAAATCTTTCTGCTTAGTTTCTTTTAAAGTTACAAAACCAATAAAGAATGGAATTGAATGCTATATTAGTGACATCCTCTGTTTGTTATTATTACCAAAAAAATGAAGAAATCATTTGGAAGAATCATCATAGTCTTGAAGAAACACAGTTTGTCAGAATTCTCTTTAGTTCCTTTCTCAATATCTTCCCAGTTGGAGATTTTGGTATAGAGCTAACCATCACCACTTTCCTCACCTTCCTGTACGGCGCAACCTAGCAACCGAAAAATATTCCCTTGATCATTAAATCATTCTGCAAATGTTTAAAACATATTCTGTTTTTGAAATGGGAAAGCCTTTTTGAATTAGTGGAGCCTAACCTGAGCAGCTACATAGCTTATTACATCTTGTTCTGAAAGTGTTGTTTCTTGTCTCCGGACAACGAATGCTACCGGAATCTCTCCACATTCTTCATCTGGGGCACTGAAATGGAAAGCCTTTTCTTATACTTCAATTCACAAATTTGGATACCGTTTTTAGCAGAGAATACCAAACTGTGTCCCATTGTCCAAAACCAGATTTGCAGATCAAGATTTGCTTTTTAAAACTTACGCTGTTACTGCAGCGTCAATAATCAAGGGATGTGAAACAAGAACAGCCTCCAAATCTGCTGGTGCAATCTGCAAAAACCATAATTGCATTTCCTATTCAATAGTTGGATGGAAGAAAGGTAAAATTGTAGAAGGTTTTGGTTGTGAGAAAACTGTATTTTTTTTTTCTTTGGGTACCTGAAACCCTTTGTACTTTATAATCTCCTTAATACGGTCAACAATAAACAAGTAACCATCTTCATCAAAATAAGCAATATCACCGGTACGTAGCCAACTATCTTCAGAAATTGTCATCTGAGTTGCTTCTGGGTTATTCAAGTATCCTGATAGACAAATGAACGGTATTTAGATTCTTTCCTGAGTAAATTCAAAACTGTTTGATGAAAACAAGTAACACACAAGATAATAAGCCCAATCTATCAACACAGTCACCAAATAAGCCACACGAAAGTTGGAAGATCCGATCTATACTTGCATTTATGAGGATGCAAGTGTTTCTCAGTAATTTGAACCATTGACGAAAAAGTAGTAGTAGAGGAAGAATCTATCTACCTTTCATGACTCCAGGACCTTGTATCCAGAGCTCTCCTCGGTTTCCTGGTGGAAGGAAAGAACCAGAGCTCCAATCTACTACCTTGGCTTGCATATTTGGAGCAAGTAGTCCCACCGAAGAGTACTTCCGAAGCTTTTGAGAGTTAAAGCCTCGTGTTCCAACTGCTGTTGATTCAGTCATGCCATATCCCTGCAACAACAACAACAAAAAATGATTCCATTTATAGACACTTCTAGCTATAATAGAAAACCGCTCATAAAATGACTTCCAACAATATAACACGGAGACCTGAATCAAGTCGACATGAGGCAGAGTCCCAAGGAAATCTTCAATGAACTTCCTGCTTAAAGGAGCTGCTCCACAAGAAACCTGTTTCAAGCTTTTAAACACTTCGCCACAAACTCCTTTGGCCTTCTTTGTCAATGCCATCAACATTGGAGGGACAACCGGGAAATGAGTGATCTTAAACCTTTCGATTACGTTAATAACATCAGAAGCATCGAACCTCCTCATAACAACAATGGTTGATCCAAGAGACAACAGTCCCAGTACAAAGAGTGATAACCCGTAGATATGGCACAACGGCAAAGCTGCAAGATAAACATTACTCGAGCCTGGATATTCGTATTGCGAAGCTTCAAATCTCACAAAAAGCTCCATTGTTGCTATCAAATTCCTATGAGTTAACAAAACTCCTTTACTAGCTCCTGTTGTCCCCGAGGAATACATAATCGCAGCTACATCGTCCTGATTAATCAACGGTTTTGGTACAAATCCGAAATCTCTTTTGATAATCGCGTAAAACTTGGGGTTTTCGATTCGAAACGAATCAAAATCGTAACTTTCAGGTACCCTAATCACCACGATCCCCAACGAACTCAATTTCTCGAAGTTTTCATGCGAAGTAAACGCTAAACCAACATTACACTCACTTACTTGCTTCTTGATCTCTCCCAAACTACTCGAAGGATTCACGGTGGTAACAATGGCGCCAAGCGAAATCAACGAGAGGAAAATCACCGGAAAGTAGACGGAATTAGGCAGAACGAGCGAAACGACGTCGCCTTGGCGAACACCCAAATCGTGATAAATACCGGCCGCCATTGATTTGACCATAACCCGAAGCTCAGTGTAAGATATCGAAAACCCGGTTGAGGAATCGACGAAGGCGGCAGAAGCAGCATCGTCGCCGTCGTGTATGTGAGAGAAAAGAGCGGAGACGGCGTCGAGATTTGGGTCGACGGGGAGGTGTAAGGAGGGGAATTTGCTGGTGTACATTCCGGTCTCAGGAGAGAACCAGAGAGGAGGGTTTTGGAGAGACGTTGGGGTTTTAGAATTTGAGGATATGTGAAGATGAGTCGCCGCCATTAGAGAGAGAGAGAAGCTGCAAAGATCAATCTTTAGTAAGATTTGTTCTGATCGGGAAATGGAGGAACGACGGAATCGCCGACTAATTTTTTATTTCATTTTTATCTGATCGAAAAAGTATAGTGTAATTACTATATTTTGATCGGCGCCAAATTTGGGATTAGAAAGTCCGGTAGATTAGTCAACCAAAACGTTATTTAATGAAAAAAATTTGATGTTCAAAAAAAAAAAATCAAAATCTTTAATTTTTGAGAAATTTAGAGTGATCTAACGTATTTTTTTTTTTTAACTTCTACTTTATTATTATTATAATATGGAAGATGTTACATAGTCAGAGTGAATTAGATGTGAAATTGATGGAGGTACATAGAAATGACTATAATAACTATTATTGTTAGGGATACTCTGCTTAGCAAGAAGATCTGCTGGCTCATTATTTATTCGGTTCACCCATTCAAATCGGATACCTTTGAATTTATGCTCCCAATATCTCACTTCACGAAGCCAGTTGAAAGTGATCTAACGTATTTTATAAGTTGTAATTGTCTCTATTCTTTTTTGTTAATAAATTACGATTTACTCGGCAGAAGTTATCAATTATTTACAGAATTTATCAATGATTTAATTATTTTTGATTTTTTAGACAACTTTGAATTTCTATATAAATAAATATTGATGACCAAAAAAAAACTTTTAAGTAATAAATAAGTGTAAGAAGATCACGTGACGCGCTGACACGTGGTAGTCTATGAGGAATAGCAAAACAGAAAAAGTAAACAAGTCTCCATTCAACACTCACTTGATTTCTTACCTTTTTCAGTAATTTTCCTCCATTTGGAGATTTTTTGGATCCCTTTTACCTTCTCCGATGTTATCGCCGGCAAAATGTGAGTCAAAAGAGGCAGCCACAGCTCAATCAGATCTCCATTCTTCTTCTAGATCCGAACCGGAATGCCTCTCTCTCGTCCTCTGGGTGCCTAATCCTGAAGCTTCCGAAGAAGCTGCTCAGTCGTCTAGTAGAGCCACGAAGCTCTCCGACGGAGAAATGAGTACAAGGAGATCCACGAGGCTCAATCTCTATTCGCCTAAAGAGATTGGAGAAGGAGAAGGTAGAATTTCGCAGAGACAGTCCTCCTCCCGTGGTAAATCGCCGCTGCTGATGCTGACGAACAGTTGTCAGGTTCGGAGGTCGCCGAGATTTACGCCGGTGGATGGAGTAATCGAAAATGTAGGCTCGGTTCCGGTGACCGGAAAGTTTGGGTCGAGGAAGAAAAAGAGTAGTAGTGCTCTCGTTAAGGTTAGTCGCCAATTCTTGTTTCAATTGTTTTATTCTTGTTAGTAGATAATGCAGCTTACTTAGTGGCTGTAGCGTATAATCTTCTTGTTAATTCTCTGTTTTTGTTTGTGGATTGATGCAGAAAGAGAGCTTAGATTCTGAGGTATTGACATTCAAGTAAGTAAAACGCTTCATGGCATTTGATATTTGATAGAGATAGTTGACTAGATTTAGCTTTTTTTTTTTTTCTGGGGAAATTATGGGTGTTATTGGTTGGTATAAATAAATATTCGTCCGCGAATTGATGCAGAGACATAGCTGGAATTGTCAAGAGCTTGGAGATGGAAATCGTTTCCGAGAGCCAAGATAAGAACAACAATGCTGAAGCTAGATCGCAAGATCAAGCTAAGAGAAAAGGTGGCAGTGATACGTTATCTTCAACCATCAAGCATTGTAACCAGAGTAGCAATAAACGAATGAGGAGATCTCCTAGGTTCACTAAGGGGATGGAGGGAGACGATTATATAGGCAAGTCTAAAGAACAAGAGAAGCCTGTGACATCTCCAAACTCATCCATAAGATCTCCTACGCTATCTGGAATTGTTGAAAATGGCAACAGAGAAACTTTGAACACAAGAAAAAATTGTGGCCAGGCATTATGTGGTGGGAAACAGGTGAGAGGAACTAAGAAGCTGCTGCAAAGTAGTGAGGATGGTAACTGTTGGGAGGCTATAAAGAAATGTGAAGGTGATGACCTTGCTTCATACAAGCAAGAGGTATTAAATTTTCCTTCAGGTTGCATCAAACCAAATGTAAATGGTAGTAGGGACAAGACGTTAAGAAAATTCAGATCTTCTGACCTAAATGAGGGTGATATACGCATTAGCTCTTTGGAAATTAGCGAAGGTGGCACGTCTAATGGATCAACTATGAAGACTGGGTTAGTGGAACAAAAGTCAATGGAGTATTCACGTCAGGGTAAAACTAGTGATTGCGGTGCTGATAACGGAGTAACTGAGCATGCAAATTCTACTCTCATCTATATATCTGACAGCGATGAAGAGCCGCCGGCCAAGAATGTACAAAATCCAGTTGAATATTTGTATACGAAAAGTTCAAATGGAGATATTTTGGTACAAGATACAAGTGGATCTACCCTCTCCTCTGGGGGAAATAGGAGACTCGCACCATTGGATCTAAATTGTCCAACCAAATCAACCAAGGGAAAGAGAGTGACCCGTACTGCTGTGCGTGATAAGCATGAACATGGTATCTTCTTTTTCATTGGAGAGCCAATTCCTTGCGAGGAGGCTCAAGAAAGATGGCGCTGGAGATATGATCTCAAGGTAGTTGGTTAATTGTTTTGCACTTGGCTACTTTAGTTTTCACCGAGTTCGTAAGTTACAGAGTTTATTTGAGCATTAGAGATTGCATAGTGTAATGGTATGTACATGATAAATCAGTGGCATTTTTCCGTCCCGTTAGATAGTCTCCCTTTGTTAGATCCAGCATTAAAAAGATCTCATTTCTTTCTTTTCACTCTCGAAATATCAGCCTCATCTCTGATTGTATATTTCATTTATTTTCAGGAACGCAAATCTAAGAGTAAAGACCAACAGTCAGAGTAAGTAGTAGGTGTTTTATAAACTCACTGTTTTTCTAAAATATTATTACTTCATATTTTTGTTTGTTCTACTATAACATTCATTATTCCTATTGAAGAGATGACGAAGACAAGATTGTTGCAAATGTGGAATGCCATTATTTGCAAGCAAAAGTCGACAATCAGACGTTTAGCCTTGGAGACTTTACCTACATAAAGGTAAAACGCGCCCATCATGAATATGATGTTCTTTGCTCCAGTATCCTTGGGCTACTTTCTGTTTTTTTTTCATTGGATAAGCAACCTTTTCTTTTCAAGAGGCTTGGGTTTTCTAGAACGTTTTGCCCTTATGAAAAGAAGATAAATAGCCAATCAAACGTCCAAATCCAAAATAATACCTAAATCAATATAATAATTTTACAGGGTGAAGAAGAAGAGAAGCATATTGGCAAGATAGTAGAATTTTTTAAAACAACAGATGGAGAATGCTACTTCCGAGTTCAGTGGTTCTACAGAGCAACAGATACAGTGTGTATACAACTTTTTCTCTTTCTGATTGTTTAATACTTTGCGCTGCAACAACTAGTTACTCATTTGTCTAATGTTTGTAGGTAATGAAACAGCAGGCTACTTATCATGACAAAAGGCGTCTCTTCTATTCTACTGTAATGAATGACAACCCAATAGATTGTATTATTTCTAAAGTTACTGTTTTACAAGTATCTCCCAGGGTATGCTGAGTCAAGCTCCTTCTCCTTTTTTACAGTTTACAATTTTAACAAATATTGTCAATGTGTTACTTGATTTTCTAGTTTTGTGACTTTGCAGGCAGGATTGAAGCCCAGTTCTATAAAATCTGACTTCTATTTCGATATGGAGTATTGCGTGGAATATTCAACATTTCAAACCTTGAGAAATCGTAAGTGCTCATGCTGGTTAAGCAATGTATACAGCAATATGTACAAATCAGCTTATGATTAATCAAATTAGAAACGGATATAGCTCGGTTTTCTTTCTTTCTTTTAGCAAACTATATGCCACAGTTTACGAACAGTTACATACAGTATATTTATCCAAGATCATAGGCACAGGAGATTGATCATTGCTGTTCCTCTTTATATTTGGTTTCAGTTGAATCTACCGAAAACAAGCTTGAGTTTTGTGACGATGTGGTACCACCGGAAATCACTGAATCTCTTTTGGAAAATAAACTTTTTAGCAAAGAGCTTCCTGTGCTTGATCTTTACAGTGGTTGTGGTGGAATGTCGACTGGATTGAGTCTTGGAGCCAAGATTTCTGGTGTTGATGTCGTGACGGTACTTGCTTTAAGTAATTAATCTTTATCTCTATAACTTAGGATGGACAGCTCTTTTTGCACTCAGTTTCAATTAATATCTGGATTCTAAATTCTTCATTTTCAGAAATGGGCTGTCGACCAGAATTTGGCTGCCTGTGAGAGCTTGAAACTAAACCATCCACAGACGCAGGTCAGAATAGTTTTGGTGCTAATTGCTAGATTATTTTTTTGGAGAACTACGCCGAATCTAATGATGCTGTCTTTGTTTACAGGTTAGGAATGATGCTGCTGGAGACTTCCTCCTACTTTTGAAGGAGTGGGATAAATTGTGCAAGCGCTATGTGTTTAATAATAATCAGACAACTGATACATTGAGATCCATAAATTCAAAAAGAGAAACCAGTGAACGTAGCTCTTCTAGTGACGATTCAGAACCTGAGGAGTACGAAATTGAAAAGCTAGTTGATATATGTTATGGTGATCCTGACAATACAGGAGCATCTGGACTGAAGTTCAAGGTATGGCAAGAGGCCCTATGTTGCAATTTTGTTGTTGATCGAACCTTACTTGTTAGGGGTTTAAGAATGTTCTTTTCACCTTCTAGAACTTCCAAGATGGATATTCTGCATGCTTGGCTCTCTTATGACGTTGTAGTTTTTGTATCATTAGGTGCATTGGAAAGGATACAACAGCAACGAAGATACTTGGGAGCCAGCAAAGGAATTGAGGTATATGCGTTAAAATAATGTTATAAAAAGGGTTGTTATGCGGGAGTTTCAAAATTTTAATATTGTTCGAAATTTTAGCAATTGCCAAGATTCCATGCGGGATTTTGTGATAAGTGGATTCAAGACCAAGATCTTGCCACTTCCTGTAAGATTTCTTTTCTTGCCTCTAAATTGAATGCTTGATCTTTGAAAGGTGTATGATTGTGCGTACCATCAACATCTTATTGCCCTGAAAATAAAATAAAATGTTGTAAATTATTGTAATCCAGGGCGATGTTGGTGTGATATGTGGGGGACCTCCATGCCAAGGAATTAGTGGCTATAACCGCTACAGGAATGTCGATTCTCCGTTGACTGATGAAAGGAATCAGCAAATTATAGTTTTCATGGACATAGTGGAGTATCTGAAACCGGCATTTGTGTTGATGGAAAATGTTGTTGATATTCTGCGTTTGGACAAAGGTTCTCTCGGGAGATACGCTTTGAGCCGTCTTGTGCACATGAGATACCAAGCAAGGTTAGGTATCATGACAGCTGGTTGCTATGGTCTTGCCCAATTCCGTTCCCGAGTTTTCATGTGGGGAGCTGATCCGAACAAGGTGAGTTTATAGGCCTATTTTAACTTACCTCCAGCCGACTGTTTCATACTTATATGGTTTTCTATTTCAGAACCTACCTCCATTTCCGCTTCCAACGCATGATGTTATTGTCAGATATGGGTTTCCACTTGAGTTCGAGGTAATATAATTGTAAATTGGTGATCACTTCACACTCTTTGCCTTGGCCCTGTCGTTCTCCCTACTGAACACATCTTGGCTTACATATGTTTCAGCGGAATGTAGTTGCTTATGATGAAGGCCAACCTAGAAATCTTGAAAAAGCTCTTGTTCTAAAAGATGCAATATCAGATCTTCCTCAGGTAAATTTCATATCCACTCGATCCATATGCAATTCAGGGTCATACCTATATATTTATAATTTTGATTTACAACTCTAGGTGTCATACGACGAAGTCCGGGAAAAAATGCCTTATGGAAATCTCCCGGAGACAGATTTCCAGAAATACATTAGATCAACCAAACACGGTAAGTAGGACCGTCTAGATTTCTGTAATTTGCAACCTTTATTTCTGGGGTGTAACGTAGTTATAAGACACGAGCACTCACTTGCATATTCCATATATTACTCACGCGTTAGAGTTTTGCTTCGTCAGATATGACAGGCTCTGCAATTGATAAGTGTACAAAAAGGACGATGCTTCTGCATGATCACAGGTCGGTTCCTATGTTTGAAGATGATTATCTCCGAGTTTGTCAAATCCCAAAGAGGAAGGTACACTATTTGTCTAAACTAATAAACAATTTGGATCCTCTAGCCACAAGATCTGACTGTAGATAAGTTTGCAGGGAGCTAATTTCAGGGATCTTCCAGGTTTAATTGTCAGAAACGACAATACAGTCTGCCGTGATCCATCAATGACTCCGGTCATTCTGCCATCGGGAAGGCCTTTGGTAAAGACTCCTCTTACATGAAGTAAATCATATAAAACAATATACATGATTAATCGTTTAATCTACACATTATTAGATTGGAAATTTGAAGTTAATGACATTGTACTTGTCGAGATTTCAAAAACGAAAATACGTATATTCAATCAGCTCACTTGTGGCCTTTTTTAGGTACCAGAATACGTCTTTACTTTTCAGCAAGGGAAATCTAAAAGGTATTCTCTTGACCTTCTCCACCTGAAACTATTTGTTGAATCTTCACATGTTTTTAAGTCTCTCTTGTGACTTCTAAATTCGCAGACCGTTTGCACGTCTTTGGTGGGATGAAACAGTTCCAACCGTTCTAACAGTCCCGAGTTGCCACAATCAGGTCTCCTTAAAGCCATTCCTCTGCAGTTTTTTGGCACTTGAATCCATTTTTATTTTATTTTCTGAACATTCTTCAAGATTTTTGCTTTTTTTTTACAGGCGTTATTGCATCCAGAGCAAGATCGACTACTAACCATAAGAGAATCCGCACGGCTTCAGGGTTTCCCTGATTACTTCCAGTTCTGCGGAACCGTTAAACAAAGGTACTTTACTTTGTCTTTGTGTTGCTTTTGGACAAAAACCTAAAAAAAAACAGAGACAATAGTTTCAGATTGCTAAGCAAATAATCTCATTCACTGGTTTGCAATTTGTACAGGTATTGTCAGATTGGAAATGCAGTGGCAGTCTCGGTTTCTCGTGCTTTGGGTTATTCTCTTGGAATGGCTTTTCGTGGTGTAGCCCGAGACGAGCATCTGATAACTCTTCCCCAGAACTTTTCTCATTCAACTTATCTTCAGCTTCAAGAAACCATTCCACATTAAAGACTTGTACTTGTTCCATTACTTCCTACATGAAGCTTCATTCAACCGACTACATTTCACCTCAAAATGACTAAATTGTACTTATTTGTTGTTTAGTTATACAGATCATGGATTGACGCATTGCAATAAAGATATATAACAAACTATTTTTCACTATAAATTGATGTTACAAAAAAAAAATGTATTGAAACAAACAGAAGAGAAAAAGAAAAAAGGCGAGATAAAGAATTGAAGCAGTGAATATTCCAAAGAACCACCACAACATTTTTTATGTGACAATATATGAGGTTTGATGGTAATTTCTCAAGGGATTTTTAACGAGTCATACACTATTTATCTGACTCCAGATTCGGAACAATAGCCGAAGAGAGCTCTATATGCGAAACCCGAACCGCACCGATAAGCCGCTCCGGCAATTCTTCCGGTGTGTTTGCCTGCAAAACCGAACCAGATTTGTATACATTACAATAACCCCAACTACTTGAGCAGAACCTATAATATTATGGGTCTGTGTGTCAGATATATTTACCTGTACAAGGAAAGCCATTTCTACAACCAACGATGTGATTACACCAATGACGAGGCCCAGAACTCCATTTGCAACGGTTGATGAACCGATATCCACGTCGATCTATACATCAACATGATGAATCATTGAGTTATAATCAATGGTTACAGAGAGCTTCAAATTCAACACTATACACCTCTACTCACTTCTAAGTATGTTGGACCACGAATGTAGTTGCAGTCCACTGCTTTCCCAAGGAGACAAGGGGTGCTTCCCACGCTTTGCCGTACTATCCATGAGCCCTGGATAGATTTCGGTTATATACGCAAAATTATGTGACTATACTCGCAGTAGTAATCACAAAGAGACAGAGAGAGAGATGAGCTTACCTTAGGTACTAACGGTACAAGCTTTAGCCTACTATTCCGGAATTCATCATCACCATCCACAAATCGTTGCAATAGGGAACCAGGTACGAGTTCTTTCATCACAAAATAAAACACCATACTGTAGTGTGTTGACCCGGGGACCTATACATAAATATGACTTTGTGGGTTTGTTGTATATCATGTTCTGAATCTTAATAATACTTTAATGGGAAAAAACTTACTTGAACATTTACCACCATTGAGAATAGACCTTTCTCTGCCGCAACCTGAACATATTTATCAAAAGGCTCAGTAATCTTTCGTGGAGCTTTCTAAGCGATTAAGATGAATCCACAAGCAAAGAGAATAGCATGGGACGAATTTGAAGAGTTGATTGCAGTCTCTCCTTTAGGTACTGAAAAAGGAAATTAACGAACAAAACTCAAGTTGGAAGATATCTTACTTGTGCTGCACAGCCCTTACGTCTAGCCACATGATCTATTCTTTTACTGTCTTTGAACCAATCGACAGCAACGAGATCCATAAGATGCTTCCCAGCAGGAATCTTCAGTAAAGCATCAAATGGACAGGAACAGATGTTAGCCGGATGTATCAGAACCCAACCACTATAAATTACTAAGACGAAAGGTTACCGACCTTTCTTTTATTGTCACAGAAACTCTTGCTACGAACTTTGAAGTTGTTCCCGTCAGAAGTCCTCCAGCAGTTACGGGCATTTTCATTTTCATTGCGCTTTAGGTTACCCGAGAAGCATGACAGATCAATGTTGTGAGCAGGTTCTTCTTCTGAAGTTTCAAATCACATAAGAAATCCCTGCTATTAGATATCTTAATTGCCTCGAGTAGAATTTTTATACTAAATGATAGGGAGCTCACCTGTTTTCTTGACATCGGTCTCTGTTTTACTTGTTTCAGGCTGAAATAGTACACAAGAATGACGATTCAGTTCCAGATGCTGTGTAAGGATAGAATATCAGAATGCTCGAATTCAAACCTCTTGTTCTGATTCAGCGATCTGAAATTCATCATCATCATCTGAGTCTTCATCCATGAGCACGGAGTTTCTGTTGACAGAATTTGTCTGATCAAGAGAAAAGGCAGACCGATGCAGAGACCTTCCACTCTTACTCAAACTCAAAGAAGAAGATGCCATATTAACCATGACAGGGATCCGGGTATGAACACCTCTCTCATCTGTCTGTGAAAACCATTCCCGCAAACCTGTGATGAGCACAGCAATGGATATTAAGTAGCCAGTAAAACTTCTTTTCCGCAACACCGAAGAAACCAGTGAAACGGGACCATGAAAGAACCTACCAGCAACACTATTCAGCATTTGAAGAAGACAATGTTGTTGAAATGCTGGAAGATAGCCTGCACCCCACCCTTTTAGATCAATTTGTATTAAATGTTGCACTTGTGTTCTAGGCCTCCCATTTCGGGGCTTTAGTGGGGCAATATTATATCCTCCACCTAAGAGAAACAAAAATAGCCCAGGTTAGATAGTAGTACATCAAAGGTTATAAAAATTTATTAAGCGCTTAGAACCGTTTAGTTTCTTAAACTTACTCTCAAGATGAGCCCGAACACATCCAGGTTGTGGACCACAGTTCTCATGCTCCCTAGAACGGAACAACACAACTTCACAGAAAGAGCGAGATAAATAACCAACAAGCTATATAAAACTAACTTTCCAGATTCTAGAATGACTAAAGAGGAAAGGAAGATACCATAGCTCCCATCATCATTACGGCGCCAATAGCGGACATAACAGAGGTCACGAGGCCACACAACCCTGGAGCCGTTTGATGCAATAATTAGGATAAAACAGAACTTATGGAAACAACAAATTAATATTTTGACTAGAAAAAGGAAGATCCCAAATGACAACAAAACAACTATAATAATAATCGTGAACTGTTTCTCCTGTAGCCAGTCTTTTATATCATGGTAGATAAAATCAAAGATACTCTCTACATACAACCTAGGCCCCTCAGGGCAACCGAGTCTGTTCGGCTACGATGTCGCAATAAGATCTAATTCAGTTAGAATCAAATAATCACTTGTCAGCCATTCATTAAAAGATTAACTGCAGAAGGTGTGACTGTAAAACGATTATGTTTCAGGTCAAACTTTACATTGGAAACCAGTCGAGCAAAAGCCTGTGATAGAGCACTGCTGTGTGACCATCCACCTCTTCCACTAAGCTGCCATACTGAAAGCTGCAGTCCCACCTGCATCAAACAGGAAAAATGAGGAACATAAATAACTTCAGATACAGACCAGAACACTAGAACAAAACTCTTCTGGATGCATACTATAGATAGCAATTTTGGGCAAGAAACATTCTTTAACACAAAAACAAAAAAAAACAAAAATACAGAAGAATATAGAGCCAACACTGGTAACACAACGCAATGCAATATACGGAAATATTTAACAGATTTTCCATATAGTAGTGCCTAACTGCAAGGATATGGAAAAAAAAATGAACACCGTGCAGACCATTCCTACGAATGATAACTGACTGGAAAATCTGTTAAACACCTACTCATAACGAGTGCCATCCATGCTCATCACAAGTTCGAATACTTCCTCACATGTTGCCTCCACTACACCAACAGCTTTCATTGCCCTGCTGCAGCTTCTTGGCTGCACATGTAGCACTGTAAATGACGGTTCTTGTCTAGATAAAGTTTCTATGTGATAAAAAGGCAATCACGCCATAAAAATGATATGCTATCAGAAACTTCCATACAAGGTAATCAACTTCAAGAAGCTCTTCAAAAATCCGAAGACCTGTTAAAAGTACAGAAAAACAAAAACAACGAGGATTAAGGCCAAATTCTAGATCTTTCTTTCGAAGCAAATTCCAGTTCCTATAGCAGATAACTAAGGAGAAAACTGGGTTCCACAATTTCCACATAAGGTACTTTTTTGTGATTTAGCAGCGGAAGATAGTAAACGATATTGCATTGCAGAATTGGCAGCATGTTCTACCCTGCAAAACCACTAACCATTTTGGCACTGAAGTAGACGCCAGTGTTTTCTCGAGAAAGCTTGGTTATCAGAATTATGGTTCGCCAACTCTGCATCAAACTCTTTAGTCCAGTCAAGTACAGATTCCGGAGGACCTGTACATTTGTTTAAGGTGATTAGATTACAACCACGATTGCAGCTGACCAGATTAGCGCATGAATAAATGAATTTGAAAAGAACCATTTCCAATAGTTGTCCTCCTCATTAAGCCACGCCGAGAGGCATCTTCATCCTCTGGTGCACTGTACCTGAAGAAAGTTGCAGATATTTTTTGCTTAACTATATGCATATTAAAAAAAAAAATCGTAACATAAATCGAAATGAGTGATATTTGAAACGATATTGGTCACTACCAACATTCAAAAATGTAGCACCTTCGGGCATTTGTATCATACTTATAATGACTCGAAAACGGGGCAGCGATTAGGAGAAAAATTACTACTCGGATTAAGAATAATTGTTAACTTCCTAATTTTGTTATTTTACAGGATAGCACCTTCTCAAGTATATTTTCTAATCATGATCGCCACAAACCACTTATTTGGAAAAATGTGGACGGTCATCCATTAAGCAAGCCAAGTTTGTGAACGAGAGAGTAATCAGAGCATTATTCCATAAAGAGAGCTTATGATAAAGTCAGAAAATCCTATAGGTTTCTCCTGAACCAGTGCGTTGATGGGAAATTGAATCTACATGCCAGCAGAAATAGAGAAATCATATCAGATGGGCACTCACTGGCTTTCATGATCTGAAGATGAAGCAGTCCTTCCAGTATCCATTCCAGACTTATATTCAAATGAAACATATTGCTGACCATTTGGAACTTGGGACTCTTGATGCTACACCAGTGCAAAACACATCAACGTTATTAGATAAAGCACTAATCCACAAAAGTTTAGACAGTGAATACTAAATAAATAACAAAAGGCAGGAAATTTCGTGATTTGGGAGTTGGCAAGCATATGACAAACCTGGTCTATAACAGACTCAATTTTCTCCTTCCACATTAGTGCTTCCTGGATGTTAAACGCTGCCATCTAGCAAGAATATACTACTCCATATTAACTATCGAGACGAAAGAAATTGCCAAGTAACAAGGTAAAGCTAATGTTAGCTATTCTCGGAAGTAAAGACAAGATACCGTTATTCTATGGTGCTTTTCTTTCTTGTTGTAGACAGACAACACGTAGACCATCTGCAGAACAGAGTTGGCAAGCACAAAAAACAATGTTTAAGGCATAAGTGATAGTGCAGTCAAGGTTACGACAACAGATAATCAACTTGACAGGGAAAAACCATCAATTGATTCACAACAGATATCATCAAATGCCTTTCTCCTGCAGAAAGCTGCCCTTACACAACCTTAAGATGATCCCTCTAATTTAATAGTTAAAACCCTGTAATCTATATAATATACATATTGGCAACATGGGTGCACCGGTGATTATATCATGCTTGGTTTTAGTTCTCAAGGTAGGAGGACATTCGCTAACCAAAACCAGTTGACTCAAGTATTTTACTCAGTTACTCAGCTCAGATTTATATTCCTCACAAAAAGCAGCCACTCCTATTTCCTAGAGAGTCCTCTTGTCTTACCCATCACCTACCCCGTGACTGAAGTTCAATTATTGACCAGGGAAGAGAAGATAAGACAGAATAACTTCCTCTAAAGCAAGGACAACGATATTTGATAAGGGTATATAAGTTTATAAGAAATCTAGTTTAGACACATCACGCCAAGAATAGTTGTTGCAGTTGACAAAAACCATGTAATATGGGCAAACATTACAAACACATCTACAAGCACTTCAAGTAACAACATAGTAACAGAAAGGGTAAAAACAAGACTCACATGCCCATGATGTGCCTTCAAGCCTCGATCCTCAACTCTGCAGTTGCCATCAATTAGCATGGTCTTGATAGGAACCTATTTTCACATGTATAAAAGCATCATTCAGCTTAAGCCTCTCACCCTGAAATTAATATGCAATCTCCAGCCCATAACAAAGAAAAATACAAATGGTGGCACAGAGAGAGCCAAAAACAGCAAAGGCTAAGACACTTAGCAGATCATCCCAAAGGGAAAGTTGAAAACGTCATAAACCTACTCAAAACAAGCAAATTAACAATCCAAACAGTTCAAAAGAGTTTGAACAAATTGTTGACCTGATAATCCTGTGGCTTCTTCTTGTAATACGCCAGAAGACGAGGCTCCAACACGAAATACCTCATATGAATATACGATCGCCCGATCTTCCTCCTTCCATACCTAACCATCCACCCTTCGTACACAACCTTAGACATTGTCGCTGCCCCCCAGAAAATTTTCCCAACGGGGAAGAACAAATCAGGGTCGCACAGCTTTCCCCACGGAAATCGAACCTTAAAGATCGAAATCAGAACTTATGTATTTCCGCGGGAGATCATCAATTTCTAATTATTCATCGGCGCTCCGGCGCCGGAATCTGGTGTTGGATTCAGCAGAGTCCTCTGCGGCAGCGAGGATTTATGAGCTCACAAGTTCAAAATTCCGAAAAACAAGAGAAAGCGATTCACCTTTGACAAAAAGAAGAAAATCGTAAGCCTTTAATTGAAAAAAAAAAAAAAAACAGAGGAGAGAGAGATATCTATACAAAATTAATTATTATTAATTTAGTAAAATAACTAATCACGCCAAAGACGTATGTTAGTCTGTTGAACAAACAAACAAAAGATGATTAATTGAGACTTGTCACTAAATTTAAATTAATTAAAAATTAAGTCAAGCCTAATCCAGTTCAAAACTCACAATTTTCATTTTTGTCGTTATGTGTGTGTGTTATGTATAGCTGACGAAGCAATTAAGCAAATCCATGGAAGGTCGCTTGACGGCCATCTTATTCCGGTAGGCAGCTAAGAAAAACGACGACGTATGTACAAAGTAGCTGACATGTAAACCGCATACACGTGGAACACAATAGTTGGCTGACGTCAAATAAGACAACACCATGACATTGTTTATCTTTTTTCAAAGGAATACACCCAAGTCAAAAATGCAATATTAAAGACCAATAAATCAACTATGCAGTGACCAGATATGTGTTTATCTCTAGTAAAATTAGATTGAAACCATCCAAATATTCCAAGGTTTAGCAGTGTCTCATTCTTTTTTACAAACAGAAACAACAATGTTAATTTTTTTACACTTGGGGTTAAAGCTTATTACCATGAATTTCTGAAAAAGGAAAAAAATCTGATTGTATTGGACAGAGAATTTGGATGTTTGGTTTTAGTAAGGAGAAATGATAGATTCTATGAGGTCTTGAAGAGGAGCAAGTTCTTTCTTGTCAATGAGAACAAACTCCTGCAAAAAAAACCAAACCAACAAGAAGCAAAATCAAGAAACTCAGTAACTGATTAAAAGTGGAGACTTGATGATGAGTTAAGGAGAGTATATAATTACATGAGTGAAGAGGATGAAGTGCTTGAAGCAAGTGTTGAGATGAGCTTCCTCTTTGAGGCTAACGGTTTTCTGGAAATGAGAGTGGTAAATGTGTGCGTAAACTCGGAACAATCTTTTAAAGATTGTCTTCACCACTTCCTTGAAGTTTGGAGGAAAATCCGCACCTTTAAGATTCCCCACCATAAACCGGCCAATAAGACCAATCAATCTCTTTGTCCATAATCATCAGAGATCTATATATCCTAATGTGAGTTATTTACCAAGTCTTTGAGGAAATATGGACTCATCATCAAGTTGTGTCTCGATCCAATCCATTAAGTATTCAACATACTTTGGAGCTGAAACCTCAATAGGCTTCTTGATCTGTACACCATCTGCCCACCTGTATTCGTATCTGAGACATTGCAACCGAATTTCATCAATGAAACGGTTTCAGATAAATCAATAAGTCAATCATCGCAATGATAGTCACTCAAACTAGCAACTCTTTTCAAGATTCTGAAGTCATATATTAAATGTTTTAACAGAAAGGCAGTGCTGAGAAATGAAGGTCATATCTAAGAAAAATCTCATCAGGGAAACGGAACCAACTTGAAGGATATCAGACTGTAGAGGGTTATATAAACCAGATTAGAACACAATTTTGGTTTACATAACCATGAAGAGGAGATATAGATATGCTCATATAGCTCCAGCAGTTTTTTTTTTCCCTTAAATACAAGATTTCTAAAGAAAACAATGATCAAGAATCATTACTTAATTGAATGAAGAAGAGATAAAAGCTACATACTTTGGACCAGCAGTCATTGTAGAACAATTCTCCTGGGTGCAGAACTCGGTAAGTGTGCCGAATAACAGATTCACCTGATTAAAAAAAATCCACAGCTGAAGAAAATAAAATTTAAATATGTTAAAATGCATAGAGAAACCATGAAATTAATAAAACAAGAGTGGTGGCAGAAGTTAAGCTCACTGTTGACTGCAAGCCATTCGTTTAAATCCTCTCCTGGAGGAAGTTTTACAGCTTCTCTAAGATTCCCACTACCTAAAGTTGCATCTATATGCTTACGAAGCTGTGCTCCCTAACACGATTCAAAGCGAGAAGCAAACACTTCTTTCAAGGCTACAAAAACATGAATCATTGTAAAAGAAACATGTGGAGTTAGAATTACAAACCTTAGTTCCTGATGGTGCGCTCTTTTTAGGACGGAAAGTCTTTTGATTTCTAATCAATGAACACAATAATCAAAAGGAGAAATATGAATCAGAAAAAAAAATGCTACAAATAAGCAAATTTTACATAATGTAGAGCATGAATCATCCAATTCTGAAGAAGATAACCGTTGAACATTGAATATTCAACTGTTTCCAAATGACTCTCAACACACAAGACAAATTAACAGAACCAACTGATAATTATATGCTTATGAAACAGATCCAAAATCCACAATTCGAATAAACTCAATAATAGTGTATGACAATTCACAAAGTTATATAAAGGGAATGTGGAAGTGAGACACAAAATTTACTCAGCAATCCCCATAAATCAAGAGATTGAGAACCCATTGCCCAAAAGTGGTGGATAATCAGTTTCGATACGATGTAGTTGATTGATTTCGAAAATGACGAATAATCACTTGGGTAAAATAGATAAAAGGATCCCAGTAGAAACATATTAGGAGTCAATATTCGAATGATCTCAGACACAAACAATCGATATACCCATTAAAAAAAAAAAAAAAAACAGAAATGTTACGCAAAAGAATCAGTGATTCACCTTCCCAGCCCGAATAGACTCATCGATTAATTCGGAAAAAGAGAGAAAGAGACGAACTTGAATCGCTTTGACAAAAAAAAATGAGAAAAAGAGATTGTAAAAGGTGACTCTTTTTCTATGGCAATGTTCTCGTCTCTCTCACTGCTTAAATTTTACGATAGCAGACCAAAACATGAGAGAACAATAACATAACATAAATAGCATTCATTTATTAATATTCCTTTTTTTTAGATTTTACAGAACACAACAAAGTGAACAATTTCTAGCGTTTGTATTACATGCTCTTACAAAGTTCAAGACTTTGAAGATTATTTAGACTTTTCTAGTGAGCAATCATTAGTTTTCAACTTTAAATCACTGGGAAATTTCGATTTTCATCAGCATCGTATGAAGAACGGAGAGAGAGTAGGGGACTTCGGATTCACACAGGGGAGCTTCTGTGTTGTCGCTGAATCGGGCCTGTAGTTTTTGTGGGCTGAGTAGGAGTTTGAATTTCAGGCCCAATATTCCTGCACAGAGAACAGAGTGTCAAACAAAACAAAAAAACGTTTTCTTTTGTACTTCTTCTTGCTTTACTTACTTGTGAGACTGATCATTTGATATTTCCTCTGTTTTCCTTGTTCCTAGCTTCAATTCCTCAAGTGTAGCTTTGAAATTCGGACACAACTCTTTTGTATACTTCTCCAGCTTCGGAAATTTAACTCCATCCGACGACAGAACAGGCAAATCAAGAAGGTAGAGCTTTCGAAGATTCGGTACTTCTCTTACTTCTACTTCAAACAATCTCTTCAGATGATCACAAAACGTCACGCGGAGAGTCTCAAGGTTATCAAGAAGCTGAGAATCTCCCGGGAATAGAGATTCGATGCTTGGACAACAATCTATGCTTAGCTTTTTTAGGTTCTTGAAGACGAATATTCTATTACCACTGTCTAGTTTTTTTAGCAATGGAAGATTTGAGATCCAAAGAGTCTCCAATGGTAATGAAGATGGTAATGATATCTCATTGTCTTGTTTCTCACGTAATTCGAAGATATTCTCCATCTTCTTGCACCTCTCTACCCAACAACCCTTAACCGATCTCATCTCAAACTCGTCGAAGATCAAAGATACGCTTTCGGATTCATTCTCTGAAACAGAGACATACTCTGCTTTGGACATATACTCTTTTCCAAGCTCCACTGATCTTTTTGTATCAACGATATCGATATCCAGGGGAACTTCATGATCAAGATCTCTGTATCTATCTCCATGAAGAACAAGCTTCTCGTTTTTTTTCTCCGCTTGATTCGAGAAGCTAGAGCTCTCTGCCAAACACTCCTTTATTTGGCTCCACTCGTCTAGCTTTAAACACCTCGAATCCGCGAGAACAATGCGTTTCGAAGAACAGAGGATGCTTTTATCTTTTGGCAACTCTGGAAACGTTTTGAGTTTAGTCCCAGAGAGATTCACCTCTCGTAAGTAAGACATATTCTCGAACGATCCATCGATTTTCTCCAACTCGTTGCATCCCGAAACATCGAAGATCTCAAGATGTGTTAGCTTCTCAAGATTTGGAAGAGCCACTAGCTTGGAACAGTTTCTTATGATGAGCTCTTTCAAGTTAGACAGCTCCGAGATTTTATTAGGTAACTCACGGAGATTCGTTCCCGAAATATTCACTTTGTGGAGGAAAGACATCTTCTCAAAGGATCCATCGATCTTCTCCAACTGATTGCAACCAGAAACATCAAAAACCTCAAGTTGTGTTAGCTTCTCCATGTTAGGAAGCTCTTTGATCATTGAGCAGTTTCTTATCAGAAGCTGATTGAGATTGACAACTTCATTGATCGTGTCCGCTAGCTCAGGAAGAGTTGTCTCCGAAATGTTAAGGATTCTAAGCTCTTCCTTCTCTTCTAAGCAAACTTCAAGCATCTCTACTAATTTCTTAGCACCAGAGACATCAAGAACCTGGAGTTTGGTCAAGGGCTTAAGCTGTGGTAGCCTCTTAAGCTCTGTACAGTTTCTTAGCAAGAGCCGTGTCAACGATGGCATTGTGCTGAAATCTTTGAGATGAAATATCGGTAAGCGAATGATTTGAGTCCCTGAGAAGTCCAAGTGTTCGAGCTTTTGAAGATGAGCGAAGTTCTTGTTCTTGCCTTTATATTGTTTCCAATCTTTAACTCTATCGAAGTAAGATTTGAGATCTCGAGCTCCGCTAATGTCGATGACTTCTAGTAGGTTTGTTGCAACATTGAAATTAGGCAGATCTTGTAGCTTAGGGCAGTCTCTTAGGATGAAGCAACGGAGGTTGCTTAGATTCTCAACTGTGGAAGGAGAAGATTCGATTGAAAGTCCCGAAAGGTTAAGACTTTGAAGCCGTTCCATGTTCTTGAAGAAATCATCATCGATTTTAGCTAGAGAGCTTGCACCAGAGACTTCAAGAACATGTAGGTCTTTGAGACACTTGAGCTCATTGATGTCTTTGATTAGATCGCAGTCTCTGATCACGAGTACTCGAAGCTTCTTCAGCGTAGATAGAGACTGAACAAGATCTTGAAACGTTGGCTCAAAGAGGACAACAACTTCAAGATCTTGCATCTCTTGTTTTTCAAAGAATTTCCGAGGAGCCTCTCTGCGTAAACGGTTTCCGCTAACGATAAGTGTAGTGATGTTCTTTTTCTTCTTGGATTGAATCGTCTGGATCATATCGTCGATCAAGATGATTCTCCCTAGGCCTTTTGTCTTGTCTCCACCGTAAACTCTGTTGAATCCAAGACAAGATCTCCCAAAGAAACCACAGTCTTGAAGATCTAACAGATTGTTCATAGACATCTCTGGAACCACCATGTTGTCTTCTTGTATCTTCAAGATCCCTCTGTTCATAAACTCCATCAAAATGGAATGTCCTTCCTTGTAAGCTTTCTCAACCGACTTAACCGGATCAAAATACCCTTCAAGCATCCAGTGAGCGATTAGGTCGCGGTAGTAAGCGCATCCACAGTGGTTGTAGAAGTCTAAGACATGCCAAAAGCAAGAAATGACCGGACTTTTTTTGACCATCTCTTCAGGCTTCAACAGCTCGTAGCTTAAACGCAAGACGGGATTGTAACGGCTGCGCTTTATAGCGTTCTTGGAAGCAGCTGCTGCGTCTAGTGACTTGGAGGATAAAATCAGTTCTTTGAAAATCTTCCTCTGTTTTGCAGACAGCGTCTTGATGCTGTCTAAAGACTTGGTTAAGACAACAATTGCAGCTGGTAAGCCCTGGCTCTTGCTTACAATGCAAGACATCAAAGTAGGGTCTTTGATCTCTCCGTTCTTGTAAAGGCTCTGCAACAAAGCCGGCCAGTCTTCAACGGTGGTAAGTGACTCAAGTAACTCAAGTAAATTCTGAGAATTAGAAAGCAACTCTCGTGACTCGTTGTCTGTAAGCGGACCGACATTGATCGTTGTTGTCGATGGCTCTTTCTCCTTTGTCTCAACTCTTCTTGTGACTAGAGTCTTTAGAGGTGCGTGTTCGGGTTGCTCAAGAAACTGTTTGAGCTTTAGGTCTTCCATTACATGTTTTTCAGTTGTCTTGCTTCCTTCATCATCCAAAATCAACAGAATATTCTTTTTCTTCGTCGTCTTGATCTCATCTGATATCTTCTTCTTCAAGCTCTCCAATGAAGCATCGAGCTCATTTTGATTTTCGCCTTCTTCTTTTTTTGTTAAAGTTTTTTCGCCTTCTTCGTACTCGAAAAACAACGATAAGTGAGCAGCTAGATTCTCGTAAAGAGACTTCTCGTCTCGAATCATTTTGTTCAGATGTAACCAGAGGACCTTGTAACATGAAGAAATCTCTGGCCTTTCGCTGACTTTTTTTGCCAGCCATGTCTTCCCTATACCAGCTTCACCAACGATAACAGTTCTTGAATCGTCTCCCAGTATTGATTCCGTTATCTTGATAATATCTTCTCTCCTGATCTGATCTTTTTTTTCTTGGTTAGCCATTTCTGGGAACAAAAAAGAGAGGAGAAGATATGTTAAAACCTTAGGTTAGAGGTTTTTCTTCTGAAGAAAAAAAACTCAGCTGATCCAAAAAATAATCTAAAATGCATAGAGATCATTGTTGTTATAACAACCCTTACTTTAAAACTAATAATGGATTTTCTAATTGTTTTTGTTCAGCTAGATTAATTTAATCTGGAACATAATTAACATAATGTACAAATATATGACCCCCTACCCACAGTATGAAAATATCAAAAGAAAATTGATTTCTAGAAAACTTAAAGCAAATATAACTAAAACAGAGTAAAATATGAAGAACCTTGTAAGTTGTTCAAATTAACTGATCAGGTTGGTTTTTTTATTTCTAGTTTTTTCTTTTTTTTTTTGTTTCTCTTGTTTTGTTATCCTTCGTTGATTGATTCACGTATTTATACAAGTATACAACTCCATCACCGATGACTTGCAGGTCAAGATATCTGGATTTTTATAAAACAACAATATTTTTAGTTTAGACTATATTCTGTTCGAAACAAAAACGCCAAGTATAAATACCATATTCTTCCTAAAAATTCAACCTTACTAATTTAGAGTACCAAAATTATTTTTTTATTCGGAGTGTACAGGTAACAAAATGGCTTTTGGAATGGTCTACTACACAAGCAAAGCTTTTCTTTTTTCATTAACAAAAAAATGTTACATGCTAAACACATGTATTGCCCTGCTTGTGTTTAATGATCGTGTGATACACATTTATGAAAAGTAAGGGTATAGATGTTTAGCTTAAAACTATTGGGGAAGAATCTACAACTTCTCTTTAGCTGAAAGGAAATTAATATTCTATCACATGAATTCAATACTTCCTTCAAAAGTAAAAGACTACTATTCTTTCTATAATTCTATTCCAAATTAAAGTTTAGTGACTGAAAGATGCATATACTTGATTACTGTAGGAAAATTCCAATCGACTTGTAACAGTCATGTTGTGATTTTCTCAATTTTGTTAGTAAAAAAAAAATCCAGTCACCCATAAAACAATATACATACGATCATTACATATATGATTGTCAAGATCATTATTATTGTTTATTCTAGTCCACTGATTGAAAAAACAAGACATGTCTTCCTATATATTCATGAGATGTAGTATTTTTGTTATTATAAAAAGGTACATATGATTGCTAGAGAACCGTATAATGTGACAAAACGTATTATCTTCGAATTTCAGAAAATTTGTATTGAGACTCTTCATTATTTTTTAAATACCAGAAAGCTACAAAACAATTACGGGAATAATAAATTATTTTTTAAAATAGTAAAATTCAAATGTTTTCGAAGACTAGAGAGTGATTAAAATACATAGATAAATTGCTTTACAAGTTACAAGCTTTTCTACTTCATCAAGCATCCACTTTCTCAGGGTCAATCTTCGCCAGCATTCGAGCAGCCAAAGGAACACCACAAGACTTATCCATAAGTTCTTGTTTGAATCTCCCTGGATACCTCGGATTCACCATCACTCGTGTTTTAGCTGCATCATAGTAAATCTCCCACACGCTCTCTGCATCGGATCTCGGAAACAAACGCTGCAGGTTCTCTTCTTCTCCGACTATCTTCTTCGCCAATCTCTCGTCTCTGCTTGTCACAATAACTCTCCCACCAAACCCTTTAGGAAACCCACAAGAAAGATGCCATTTTTCCTGTTCAACTTCCCCACCATCGAGCCTCTGATTCCACTCGTTATCCTCACAAACATCGTCCAACACGATCAGATACTTCTTCCACATCAGAATCGAGTTAAGAGTATGCAATAATCGAGAGAGCTCCTTCTCTTTAACCGTCTCTTCCGATTCCTCCCCAGCTTCATCTTTGCCTCTCTTCTCTTCTTCTGCGTCTGTTTTGATGCGTTCAAACATCTCATCTTCAACACCAAGTGATCTCAAGATTCTCTTCACCACAGCTATCTTTGAATCTTCATCTTCTCTTGTTTCTTTGCTGTACATAGACACCCATATCCTCGGGAGATAAGCTCTTTTCACATCTTCGTCGTTGAACACAGATTGACACAATGTCGTTTTCCCAACTCCGTATTTCCCCACAATCGCTAGCGTCTTGAACTCTTCGGATTCCTTTCGCTTCAGCAAGAAGTTCTTCAAGAACAAGGCCTCGTTTATAAAACCGTGAATGTTTAGATCCTGAAGCTCAGATTTTGTCTCGACATGGTTCACCTTAGGCAGCCCTTCTTTGCTGCTGCTGTTCCGAGTGGCTGATGAATCGCCATGTGTGGACATGTATCCACGCTTAGAGGAAGATTCACTCTGTTTTTCAGACAACCATTTATCATCAAAGTTAGACTTGATTATTGCGAGCTTCTCATCAATTTCATACATATACTTCTTAGCTTGAGCCATAAGCTCTTCTTCTGTTCCCAAGAAAAACTAAACTACAAAGGAAAATATGGGTTTCAAAGTCTGCAGCTTTCACTTTGGGGTGACACAGATATATATCGAACTATCTTTCTCTGCAAATTCTTTATCCCCAGAAGTAAAGAATAAAGCAAATGGAATTGTTACAAAAAAAAGAAAAAAGGAAGAGAGAAAACAAAAAAAAAATAGAAAATGTATTATTTGATTAAGGGCAAAGCATAAACCAGGTGTAACATTAACAACACTTCTGGTCTTTTTTGTTTTTTTCGTGAAACACATTCACTAACCTGAACCGTCTATGAATGCTACAGTCAAATCCCAATCCTCGGAGATGTATCTCTGTAACTGTAACATCGACTCAGACACAAGTGCTGCAGATTTGTTTCATAGTGTTTCTCCAAACAAGCCAGGAAACAGGGTTCTGATTTGTGCTGACTATCCAATCAAAATCTCGCAAAGAGTGTCTCAGATGCTTGAGATCCTCGTGGTGGATGACATTACATAGCTGATGAATCTCTACGATTCTTGACCTCCAAACCTGAAAAGAAAGTTTGATATAACATACTGTTTTCAAATCCACATCGTTCTAAAGAATATAGTGATCGTTTTATACATTGAATAACAGTGACATCTCCTATCTACAGAAGCGTTTACATTAGCACGAGACTGAAGAGTGTTGGAATGCAAGTTACATATAGAGGCAAGCAAATTCTCAGGAAAGAAGCCATGACTTTAGCTTCTATTGTATTAGCAAGATGAAATATTAAGAAAATATGTCTTACCAATGACAAGAAAACATAGATCGATAAGAACTTTTGAGCATCGATACCAGACTAGTGGAATGTACCTTTGCGCTCAAGGAGAAGATGACTCCCAAATCTTCCACATTCATGTGAAATAAACAAGGGCAAACTTTTTATGTCAATGGCATTATCTGAGAGAGGTTTCTTGTTAAAACCAGAGCACATCTCACTGACTTGTCTCTGCAACCCCGAAAATTGAGGCATAACATCGCTCCATCCATCAAATGAAAGATTTTTACCAAACAACTTCAAAGCGCTCTTTCTAGTTGCTTCCACAGCTGAAGATAAAATATCAAAAATAATCTCAGAAGACAAAAAGACTACTTGTAAACTACATGACCCAAATCAAGAAAGTTCAGAAACAAGAATTTACTTGGTATTGAGAACACATATATATGAAGAAATGAGATAGGGAGAGAGAGAGATGGGGAGTATATACTGTTATAAGGAGCTGCAAGAAGAAGATTTGTGGGGAGACCAATGCCGAGACCAGCAAGTGTTATACCAACACTGAAACCAACGCCACAGCCTGCACCGACATAGCCAATGACCTCAGGGCCAAAACCAGGTCCCCATCCGACGCCACAACCAATCCCGATCCCCATTCCCCAAAATGCTCCATAAGTAGGATGAACAGGATTCCATTTCTCATATCTCCTAAATATACCTTTAATGATCATCAAGACCTGAGATTTTGAAACAAAAGATATGATAAATCTGTAAGTTGATATTGACCCATTGAAATAATCTTCAATACCCACCGAACTAAATCAACTCAAATCCAGCTGCACAATTGAATCGACAAGCCAAACCAATAGATATTCAACACTATCACCAGCAAAACATAAAGCTCTTTTTTTTCCCAGAGATTTTCTCGAACAAGTAATATTCAATAAACCAATTCCAGTTACTTAGTCGCAAAACCAGACAATTGATGAAAACATTCGGAACAACTGGGATAATTCTAAGAAATAGAAACAACGAACACAATATATATACAAGATGTACCATTAATGGATTACTATTTCAATTTTGCTCTTCTGTTTCGATCTTTGCCCCTTTCGTTTCTCCTTATTTGTTTTCACCTTAATTCGATCCCGGAAATGCAAACACTCGCCGTTTAGTTTTTCTACGACGAACACCGAGAACCACTCGTCGTTTAACGCTTGGATTAAAATAAATAAATAAAATAACCGGACCGGCCTGACATGAGCGGTACAATTCGATTCGGTTTACCAAACCAAACTACGGCAGAGTCCTTATATAATCGATTAACCGTGTGTGAAATCTCCGGCGTTCAATGTCCAGTTTCCGGTGTCCCTAAAATTGTCCTGCTTGAACACTGAAATCAAATCTGGAAGAGTGGAGCCAAGTTCGCGAAATCTCAAGAATGTGGTTTACACGACTTTGTCAGGTGAAAGTGAAGATCTCATTAGTGTCTCTAATCTCTATGTGTTTTGCATACAGGAAGAACACGATCAGGCTAATCCCTTTTAAAAAGTTTAGGATTTAATCGGATGTTAGAAGCAAATTCGGATTTTTCTGGTTGGAATTAGAGTGAGAAAGTTTAGCAGAAGCTATTTTTGATGGATTCTCTGGTTTGAAATTGGAGCATGAAGAGCCTAGCCAATAAGGCGAATAGATGATTCAACGAATAGCCAAAAAGATGTTAAAGACAAAAAAGAGAAGACAACAATCTGTTACACAAGGCAAGAAGAGGTTGCTTTGTCCAAAACGAGTCTGGCTCTAGAATCTTCCTTGGTGGTCCGGAACTGCTCTCCGAGTCCAAATTGAGCCATCAAAAGCCAAACAAAGTTGATCAATTCACCGCCTCTGTTGAGTTGAGCTGCATGCTGTTTAGAGTCACAGTGAGTTGCTGCATAGCAAAGCATCTCCACCCACACTTTGCTCACTACCTCCCACATCTTACTATTGCCTTGTTGAGTTTGTATCCGAAGAAGCTCTTTTGCAAGCATGCTCGCTTGGAACAGCACAGACTTGCTTCGATACACTTTGGCGTTCTCATTTCTTTGCCCATCTACCTTATAGGAATCTAAAATTGCTTTACAGGCCATCTTTGCATCTCCTGAATCCGCAATATGCCTCCTTTGAAACAGCTTTTTAGCCTCTGGGAGGTTTCTGGCTTCTGCTATTGCGTCTCTGAATCTTACCTTATCAATTCCTGCAACTGTTGACATAAGAGAGGGCTGCACGATTAGGAGATACATCATGTAGTCTGAAAGTGTTTTGCTGGACTCTCTGTATTCGACATTTCTTGCATTGTTTTCGTCTGTTTGGTGTAAGAGCTCAGTGGCAATGTGCCACACCAGAATGCTCTGATCGTAATCCACCTCGGTAACATAAGGCAGAAGCTTCTCGTTATTAATCTCGGTATCCATATCTCGCAGAATCCAGTCACCTCTAGCCGAATATATGTGGCTGCCACTTTCCATTCCAATAACAAAGACGGATCTACGCTTAACCTCCGTAAATATGAATTCCCAAAGCTCTCTTGTGAGGTGTTCACGAGATGTAAATACCATCTCATTTAGCTGATCCGTGATGCCGAAGAATTCCAAGAGATAGTTTAACAGAGGAATTCCAAACCAGAATCTAAGAAAGAGCCTGACAGGGTAAAGAAGATAATATTTCACCCTGTGTTTGTTGAACAGAGAAATTATGTGCAGGTCTATCTTCACGCGGATGCGATTCAAGGCTTTGGAAACTGAGACTGTTCCTCGGATGATGAAATCAGTGGCACGATCTATGTACAAGCTTCTAATGATGGTGTCATAGAAACTGTGTATGTAACCCTTGGTGTGATGGATTCTCTTTGGTTTTATCTTCAGGAAGGGGCCAATCAGGTTGTATGCATATACGTACTCTGACCATCTCCGAAATATAAAGAGTCTACTAGGCACCATGTGACAGCGACCTTCTTGCTCGTGACAGTTGCACTTCTTCCACTTCAGGTCCCTGAAACCGAGGAGCCCATTGAGAAATCTGTCAAACATGGTATCTTTCTTATCCAGCTCTTCCTTCGGCTTCCTCAGTCTAGCAAATGTCCAGTCGGATACACAGAATATGAGGATGGAAATGAAATCCAGTGCGATTCCACCAAAGATCAAAGCATAAGTAAGGCTAACATCAAAACCATCATATCCATCTTTCTTCGATGCTTTGAATATGTGGAGGGATGTAAACAGGCATCCCAAGGCTATACAGCGGAAAGCAGCTCCAAACCAGGTGTGCAGGATGTCAACTTTGGTGAATAAAGTTCCGTAGATGAAGCTGAGCTCTACCTCTAGAATCCTCAAAGCATCTTCCGGCGACAACAACTGGAAAAATTGCTTGCTCTCTATCCACTGGTGTGAGCTATAGATGAAATCTACCACAAGACCTTTGTAGATGTTGAAGTACTTATAAGCATGTTGAACAACCTCGAGATGAGTCAGACATTCTTTCTCTGAGCTTACGGATACCTTAACTGCTTGCTCTTTCTTAGGCTCCGGGACCCAAACTAACTGGCTACGCTCTTTCGAAATCTTCCTTATTTTGTACTCTTCCATAAACCTTGTGTAGTCGATTCCAGGTTCGGGCTCCCCAAGCATTGAATCTTTGAACCTTTCGAGACTAGCTCCACGCATTGCTCCTATCCTCTCAACATACTTGATGACTCCAGCCACAAGCATGAGTGAAGTAGGTACCAATAGACTGTTGGGTATTGACAGCAAGAACACGTAGAGAGTAGCAATGAATTGGCAGACAAGACCAAACAAGCTCCTGAGCCAGAGCTCATTATCCTCCAGAGCAAGAGCTGTGATTGTGTCAGGACCACCAAGGTGCAAGAGAAGGAACATTGCCCAGAACGCCAAGAGCTCGTTTGTCTTGGGCGACTCGTTTGGTTCAGGGTCGTCTCCTGAGCTATCTGAGATTTGTCCCACGGCATAATCAGCTGACCAGTTGGCTAAAATGTAAGATGACCAGATGAGAAGTCGAAAAAATCTCATAGGAGTTCGTTTTCGATTTGGTGAGAGAAGAACAAGGATTGCCTGAAGGACAAGACTGAATATCACAAGGCCACGGATGTTCCATTTGTCCCACATATCTTTCACTGCCTTGGGTATTGCCTCACCCATCTTTCTTGTTTTTCTGTTCTGTATCAGCAAACTGGAGCTGGTACCTGCCTTTTTGGAGAACGAACTGGTTCTCAGTTTATGAGACGGTTTGGACTGGTTTGGTTTATTTTTAAGACCCCCTAGATGCAATTCTGGTAGTAACAGAGCATCTGGATATTATAACCGGTGTCATCAAGTTGGCTCGAAGGTTGATGATATTTATCTTTTTTTTTTTTGTTGGTCGAAGATGATATTTATCAAGCGACCAGTCTAAAGAAAGACTTTTGAGACCCCCACTCTGTTTATTTTTTATATGAAACATAAAGAAAGACCAATTATATTGGTCAATTATATCTAAAGAAAGACCAAATTGTTTTTTCAGTATCCGGGCCCTTCACGTTTCACATTGCATGTTAATTTATTTTATAATTGTTGACTTTTTTGTGTCTGCCTTTTTCCTAATTTTTTATTAACATCATTTAATCATTTTTTATTTTTTTTTGTTCAACTAACACCATTGTTTTTGTGTATTACATTTACAGCGCATAACTGCATAGATATCCATTATTTAAAACCTTGTTACCTGCAACCATGTTTTCTTACGTGTTCATCGGTGACAGTTGTCTTAAAAATTTCGGTAGACAATTAAGTATGACCTTCAGAAATGTTTTAGTTGACTAGGAATAGGATATGTGTCAAAATATTTCATTAAATTATATGTTAAAACTTGTCTAATCCAACATTATATGTAAAACTATACATGTTTCCAAAATATATGGCCATTGTACTTACTGCCAATTATTTAAATCAGAAGTTATTGTCAAACAAACAAAAAAAAGTTAGTGTACTTCATGAACTCGGATATGAACAATTCAAACAATTCATTGCCTGCTATTAGCCAGAATTGTTTTAACTAACAAAAAAATATTAATAAAAAGTTGGAATCAATTTAACGGGTATTGAATTCAATGTCGACGGAATATGTGTGTAAGACTGTTAGATGTTTTCAATTTTTTCCGTCTAATATTAATCCAAATGACAAAAAGAGAAAACAGAGCCTGGTCTAAAAACAGGGCAAAACCAGAAGAGAGAAGAAACAGAGTAATAATTTACACATCGGAAGTTATCTTCTCCTTGTCGAATAATCCCTTGAGCTAACGCAAACAAAAAAAAATTAATAATGTAGTTTCTAAATTCTAGCAATTAATAAACTCCCAAAAATTGTTCTGGAACTGATAATTGGGATATGACTAGATAGCTTGTGTAATCCTAAGGAAACAAAAATCTGTAAGCAGTGGTAGATATCAAGAGCAATGTGGGTTGTATTGTATGTAATGTTGATACCAAGAGAATTGGAGACATAATATTACAAAACAGAAAAAGAAGACACAAAACAGAGAAAAAAAAAAAAAAAAAAACTTAGAGGGAGGCTTAGACCGGAACATAAGCAGTGAAACAACGAGAAGAACACAAGTAAATAGTAACATCAGTAGTAGTTGTAGACACCAAGAGCAATGGTTCGTGGCATTCATTGTCACAGTTGCTACAACGTAGTTGTGTTGTCCAGTCATTTCGGACCACTTTGTACTCGTGTCCAAGTGAGATGAAACTCATCCACGGTCTCATGTGTCTGAAACTTCCAACGGCACAATTGGTATGAAGAACCGGACCACAACTGAAACATTTGTAGTAATTACCCTTTTCTTCGATTTTCTTTTCGCATACGTCACACAACAAGTATCCGCCGGTAGAATCTTCAAGACCAGATTTGATGCTGAGCAAATGCTCATCATACTTGTACTTGGCCTTATCGGGTAAGGCTGCACACGCCATGCACAAATGGAATCTGCATCCAAAACAACTTAGAATATATTTTTGTCCTTGAAGACCGCAGCCACTACAGATCTTGGCCTCCTCGATCTCATCTGTTGGAACGTCGTCTATAAATAAAGGATGCTCATGACTAGAGACCAACAAGGGTTCAGAAACTGATGAACATCGAATGTCGAATTCAATGTTATCGTCTTTGCACTCCAAACAACGATAGCTGAACCCATTAAAATGCAAGTGACAAGAACCACAGCGAGAAGGACCACATGACCTTTCATCATCCGGGCAAAGAGTGAGTGGATGTACATGTAGAAACGTAGTTATCTCTTGTGGGAGATTAGCACATCGTTCGTGAAGAAAGAAAGAGCATTCCTGATGACAACGGTAAAAGGTCTTAGCTGCTATGGGAAGAGCACATCCAGAGCAAACATCATCTGTATATTCATCTTCAAGTCTTAGATGATGTTGTTTATGACCGATATGAAGAACTACCCCATCGCTTATCATGGAGTATGATTGCTCACCATTCTCGTCATTATCTTCTTCTTCGATATTTCTCATGACCTCCACGCCGCCCCACACGTCTCCTTTTGTTGCACACGCCATGCACAAATGGAATCTGCATTGAAAACAACTTAGAATATATTTTGGTCCTTGAAGACCGCAGCCACTACAGATCTTGGCCTCCTCGATCTCATCTGTTGGAACGTCGTCTATAAATAACGGATGCTCATGACTAGAGACCAATAAGGGTTCAGAAACTGATGAACATCGAATGTCGAATTCAATGTTATCGTCTTTGCACTCCAAACAACGATAGCTGAACCCATTGAAATGCAAGTGACAAGAACCACAGCGAGAAGGGCCATTAGGACCACATGAACTTTCATCATCCGGGCAAAGAGTGAGTGGATGTACATGTAGAAACGTAGTTATCTCCCGTGGGAGATTAGCACATCGTTCGTGAAGTAAGTAAGTGCATTCCTGACAAGTGTAAAAGTTCTCAGCTGCTATGGGAAGAGCACATCCAGAGCAAACATCATCTGCATATTCATATTGGGATCTAAAACTTAGGACATGTTGTTCATGACAGAAATGAACAATTAATGACCGCTCCTCAATTATGGTGAACTCCTCCAGATCATCCTTCCCGTCTTCTTCTTCGGGTTTACCCTCTACATCAATGCCGTCCCACACGTCTCGTCTTACTGCGCATCTCGAATGAACATAGTAATCTTCACAACAAAGACAAGAATAAGCACCATATCGCCCGTCCATCTTCCGGCGACAAATTCCACAAGTCTGTTCCCCGGAGCCTAGAAAGGAAGTATAAAACATGCGGTGGTGGTGACGGTTGATTCTTATAGCGCGTGGAAAGTCTATGCAGTCTTTGTGTGTCATGAAAGAACACTCAAGACATACATACGGAGATTTATCGCCAGAAAGTCCACAAGCATTACAAGTGAAGGAGACTTGTCTAGGCAAGAGAGTGAGAGTATGCTCATGGAACTTGGGCCTCTCGATAACAAGTGATGGTGGATTCTCTGCACAATCAAGATGTGCAGCAAAATCACACTGGGAACATTCATAAACTCTGTTGGTTTCCTTTATGGTTTCTCCACATAAACCACAAACTCGACTTTCTTCTGTTTCTTCAGACGATAACTCTTTAAGATTTAAAGGGTGTCGATGACTGGGAAACTCCACAGCATTCATGGTGGCTGAGAGAACTATTTTTTTTTTTTCTTTAGCAAAAACAAGGGAACTCTTTTTTTCTTCTTCTTCTTCTTTCTCTCTCTGTGGAATGCAAATTATGGGTTAATATCATTTGTGTCCTTGAGAGCGTTGAGAAAGCTCCTCCAATTATTCTATAACCCTCAATAAAATACTTAAATTTTAAAGTATAGATGGTTCACATCTGTATTACAATTTTAAGTTTGAATAGTCTCTATACTATTTATTAATAAGTTATTTAAAAAGTAAATTTTATTTTATAAAATATTACAAAAATATAGTATTGATACGATATAACTATTTTTCAAAACTATTAAAAAATTTATAAAAATTATTGTTTTTAATTAAATAAATATTACTATTTTACTTTTCATTATAGTAATATTAATATATTATATATTTTCAAATAATAATCATTATATATATTAAAAAATTCAAAATTATGAAATATTTTTACTATAATTTGTATTATTTTATTTGAATATATATCAAAATAAAATAAAACAAACTAAATTTAAGTGTATATTTTAATCTATTAAAAATAAATCAAGCAAATAAATTAGTCTGGTTTGACAATTTTAATTATAATAATTAAGTGTAGGTTTGACAAAATATTAAACAGATTTTTGAAAAATTACTTCGCACTATAACGCAAGTTTTTTCGAATTTATTAACCAAGTTTTTACTAAATTTAATTCTATATATTTCACCCTAATTTTTTGTTTTTTCAACTCTGACTATAGTAGCACTGAAAATTTGAACCAGTCTTGCCTGAATGATCCTAGATACTTTTACTTGAGGGTTAATGATAGAAAATAAAGCTGTATTATAAAAATTTATAATAAGAGAAGTCGATATGACTTATGAGTAGTCATTAAACTCAAGATCGTAAAAATTACTAAAAAAAAGGTATGAGTTTGTAAACCACATGATAGTTGTCGACAAAAAAAAAAACCAAATGATAGTTTATTGCCCCTTGTACTAGGCATACAAGTTAATTGTCTTTGCATCTATTGTTAAAAAAAGCAAGTAATTAGCAAGTTGATCCGGAATCAAATACCACAGCAAATTTTTCTTAATATAAATGATTTGTCGTCTTGTAGCAACAATTAAAATATTTAATTAATAAAAAGGTGGTGGCGTAAATGATTTGCTGTCTTTAAGCAGTATCCACAAGTCTTATATTAAGAAAATCAAAAGTCTAGTTGGCATGTATACCATGTATAATATGATTCACTGTTTCACACTATTAACTGTGTGATTGATAGTCTTTAATATTATATTAAATCACATAATTTTCTATGCCAAAAAAAAGTCATCATCTCTTAATCAATAGAACTAGAACAGTTTAGTCAGTAAAATTTGGGATTAAAACGGTTAAATCAATAAAACATGATCTAACTTTTCTTGGTTCAGAGAAAATTGGTATTTTTTTATAGAAATTTGAAAGTTAAAAATTTTTGTGACATTTTCTTCAATTATCTCTAAACCCCTTAACCGTACGGACATCGATCCACATCTTTAACGCGGCAAACGGCGACAGAAGACGAGAGGCATTGATTAGTTGGGGACTTGGGAAGTGTTTTTTTTTTTTTTGTGTGTGTGTGGATAATATGTGAACTATATACCCAAAAAAAGGAACAAGTGTTGGGATATATGTTTACATACACAACGAGCTGTAGACAATATAGGGGTGCGTGGATCAGTCGATGTTGCCTTAACATCTCTAACCACACCGTTTATAGTCGGATTAAAGTATTAATTATAGAGGAATAATGGAAAACACCCAGACTTTTAACAAACCAAAATAGGAAAACCAATACATTACCACTTTGTTATCTCACAACTAAAAACAATAAAATCAGTCATATCATTGCAGCATTGCTTAATATCTCGATCAGATAAAACCTTTTAGATGGGTTACTCCGTTATTGTTGAACAGTCTTGGTCAGATCTCCAGATTCCATTTCCATCGCAGGGAGTGAGAGTAACTCTTGGACACTCATAGTTCTCCAAAAAAATAAGATTTGGGAAGTATAGTTGCTTGAGCTCTATCCAACCAACTGTTAGCTTGGGGAGGGACGTGAGACGCAAGACCTCAACAGCACATGGTGTTGCCTCCTCCGGCAAGTCACCGAAACCCTTTAGGGTTCTACCTCCTCCAATGTGTAGCTTTTTCAAGTGAAGTAGATTGTGAGGATGAAGCCAAGTGGGAAGTTCTTCTTCTGGAAAACGCTGCAGACTCAGCTTCTTTAACTGAAAAGGGACACGAACCTGACGTCTGAGATTCTTGGGAAGAGAACGAGTGACAGTGCGCGTCAAATAAATCAGCTTGCTTGACCCACCGTCATAGAAGTCGAGATCCCTCCTCCATGTCACTTTCAAGCTTGTCAACGACTTGAGATCTGCAAGATCCTCCATCAATTCGTGCAAACGGAAATCATCTCGGTTTATTTCGATGCTGAGCTTTCTTAGTTTCCGCAAGTGCTTCAAATAAATCAGCTTGCACGAACCACCGTCATAGATGTCATCGCTAACAACAAAGCCCTTGAGGACCTCTAAGTTATCCAAATAAGCCAACCTTGAGGGAATCCACTCCAACATATAGCAGCCTGTCATATCCAAGTAGACCAGATTCTCGAGTGAATCTATTTCATCTGGGAGTTTCGTCAGGTCATAGCATTCCCTGAGGTCCAAGATGACTAGCTCGCGTAGCTTACAAACCGAATTATTTAGGCTTCTAATTGTCGAGATCCCTTGAAGACTTAGCAGTCTTACTTTTGTCACATGTTTTAAACACTTCATGAGCTCGTGATTCTGTACCTCGATGTGACGTTTCTGACTTCTTTCCCATCTTCCCAAATAAAACACCTTGAGTGACTTGAACCAATCTTCTGATGAGTTGATCGTGAATCTCCTGTGTTTACGTGGATTCTTCAAGAACCACCTGACTGCGAAGTCCGGATACCTCTCAGAGACATTGAGCACTGTTTCAATTTTCAGTGATGGCATTTTTCTAGAGGTTGCCTCTGGCTGGATTGCCGACCCTTCCACAAGGAATACCTTTCCCATATCTGACATGTTCATGCGTGGCTTAGACTCTTCGCCGTAAATATCAAAAAGCCCAATCTCCTTTGAGATGAGAACAACTGAAGAATGCACAAAAGGGCTCATCTTATAGCTGCTTGGAGCCAGTTTGCGCCTCTCTTCAACGGGTTCGACCAACTTTTTCTCAGTGAAGTCCTTTAGAATTTTCCTTACATCTTCTTCAGCTGTCTTGACATTGAGAATCCCCTCTCCTATCCACCAATACATCAGCACTGTTCTATGAACCTCTCTGTTCTCCGGGAACACAGCGAAACTCAGAAGGCAGATCTTCCGTTCAGCCTCAAGTTCCATAAAATTCCGTTTCACTTGTCTGAAAGCCTCGCATTTGATGAGTCTTTCCACGTTTGTATGTAGGCCGCGGAGATAATAGACATTGTCATGATGAACCTCGTCTTCATCATCCTCATCACCATATGCTGTTGCTATCTGTTTTTCTGACCTGCCAGACAATAAGGGGACTTGGTACAACAAATCAGAGATCTTCTTCTCAATGTCTTCCAAGTCTGACTTGATCCAATACGTAGTTTGAGAAGAAACGCTGGGGGAATCCAAATTTGTAATCAGTGACCGAAGGGCAACAAGATGTTTATCCAACTCTACTCCGACATATGTTTGAAACTGATCCAGCTTTCCCAGCTTCAGTTTGAGGTGTCGGAAATGATGTTTTAGCCTCAACATCAGTTTGCCATCAAATGCAACATGAGTCAAAGCAGGAGGAGCACTCACGCTCCTTGGTATACTAACTTTTTCATTATCTATCTCAGTAATCTCTCCTTCCTTCTCGCTTCTTTCTAAAGGACATTTCTTTACAGAAGATATCAGTTTTTCCAACTCTGGCAAGGTCTCCAAGATCTTGTCGAGTATATCCTCTGAGGTATCTCCTGATTGATGTGCGAGTGGGTTGCTCTTGGAAGCCATGAGATGGAATGGTAAAAAAGAAAAAGCCTTCTCTTCCCCACCACTCAAAGCAAGCACACCGAACCCGTCTTGCCTGCAAATCTTGAAATAAATCGAGAATTTCCCCAGGGAATTAACCAAAATGGAAAAGAAATAAGGAAAGCCATGAACTTTCCATTACCCACCAATCTGAAATCATGTTCGAAATCAAAAAAAAAAAAAAAAAAAACTGATATGCAATACCTTACTCTTGTAGATCCTCCTCAGCGGCCACACCAAGAGAGAGATAGAGCCTTCTCTTCCCCACCACTCAAAGCAAGTACACCGAACCCATCTTGCCTGCGAATCTTGAAAACAATCGAGCATTGCCCCAGGGAATTAACCAAAATGGAAAAAAAAAAAAAAGAAAAGCCATGAA